TTTTTTAGAAAGGACACAAAAAGCACAAATTATAAAAGAAAAACTTGATAAATTCAACTCCATGTTTTACACTTTTGCCCTTCAAAAGTCATCATTAAGAGAACAAAGAGGCAAACTATAGACTGGGAGGAAAATGTTTGCAATACATACCTCTGACAAAGGACTTGTGTCCAGAAGACACAAACAATGTCTACAACTCAGTAATAAAACAATCAGCTCAACTTAAAAATGAGCAAAGTATCTGAACAGTTACTTTTCAAAAGAAAGATTTATGAATAGCCAATAATCACATAAAAAGATACTCAACAGCATTAGTCATAAGGGAAGTACAAATTAAAACCACAGTGAGACAGTACTAACTGCCGACTGGAATGGCTAAACTTAAACAGACCAGTAATTCCAAGTGTTGGTGAGGGAGTACCTGGAATGCTCATGGCCTGCCGGTAGGAATATAAAATGGAATAACCACTTCAGGAAGCATTTTTGCAGTTCTAACAAGTTCATGCTGTATAGCACAGGGAACTACAGTCTATATCTTGTAGTAACTTATGGTGAAAAAGAATATGAAAACATATGTATGTTCATGTATGACTGAAGCATTGTGCTGTACACCAGAAATTGACACAACTTTGTAAACTGGCGATACTTCAGTTACAAAATACATATATACAAAAAACAAGAAAACATTTTTGCAGTTCTTGTAAGGTTAAACTGGCACTTACTACACATCCAGCAAATCCACTCTGAGGTATTTACCCAAAAGGAATGAAAGCATATGTCTGTCTAAAGACTTGTTCAGGAATGTTCATAGCAGCATTATTCCTAACAGACCAAAAACCAGCTCAAATGGCCATGAACAGGTGAGCGGTTGAACAAGACCATGGTGCGTTCATACTACAATACTTGGCAGTAAAAAGGAATGAATAATTGGCCTTCGTAGCAACAATGTGGATGGATCTCAAAATAATGATGCCGAGAGAGAGAGAGAAGCCAGATGAAAAGGAGTTCATACTGTGTGACTCCATTTATACAAAACCCCAGGGATCTAATCACTGCCTGGCTTGTGGTGATGGTTTCACGGGTGGTCACACATTAGAACTTATCAAACCGTACACTTTAAATTTATGCAGTTTACTGTTCATCAATTCTATCTCAATAAAACTGTAATATAAAGTAATTCTTAACTTCAGGAAAAACAGTAAGAAAGTAAAGAAATGCAGTGCTTTGTTATGGGTAAGGTTTACAAAAGAAAAATCACGTAAGCGCTGGAGTGATTTTTTAATTTTAATTTTAATTTTTTTGTTACAAAAAGCGTGATATAAACAAGATTTTTATTAACTAAGTAAAAAAAATAGTGGAAGACAGTGCACTCCCGAGAATTGGGAGCGGGCCAATCCAAGAGAGGAAAAATGGCCAAGGGTGATTTTTTAAATCGAGATGTTAAATACATTCAGTGAGTTGCGTAAAAAAGTGTACAAATCTGAGGTGTGACTAGTGATTTAACCCCGAATTGCAACTACCTCCGGATGATGGAGGACAGGAAATGGGGAGGGTGGTGGTGCAGAACGGCTAATCCTCCCTTATCATAACAGGTAGCGGGCAGGCAGTGTAGACAGGTAGACAGGGTAGATAGTAGATAATGGCTAAAACGAATGTATCAAAAGACAACAATATGTGCTTATTGCCTAGAAATATGTGGTGTGAAAGTGCGAGGAAAAAACAGCTCAAAGACTCAAACGTGTTTGCTTCTGGAGGGGGGTGGTTTGAGGTGATGAGGGAGGGGCAGACAGGAAACCTCTGCGTGTTGTTATCTTCCTTTTAACACAAGTTGGTTTTGCTCTCCACGCCCATACCGTATTTCATCAATTCTAAGATGCCCATTTATTCACATTTAAACATCTTTGAAATCAAAATACATCTTTTTACAATCCGTGGTGCATGCACCTGACAGTTATAACTGGCAGGGTCTTTTTCTTGATGGTACAAAAGTAACAGCGCATGTTCCAGGTGGTGATGTCAGGTTCATCGAAGTCTGGCATTATTTTGATAAAATAACAATTATTTGAAATTAAAAAAGAGTTCATTGGAACAGCTGCTGTTTATCATACTCCTACCATAGGTCAAGCACTGGGCTTCCTGCCCAGGTTCTTATTTTATATTATTCAAATTTTTAAGATGAAGAAATTGGGGCTCAGAGAGGTTAAGTGCCTTCCTTAATGTCACTCAGCCAGTGGTGATAGACACAAGCTGAAAACTAGGGGCTATCTGAATCCTAAGTATATTACCTCTGTTTTGATTAGTTTGAAAGAGCTCCATCTATGGTCCCTTCAGTTGTAAGGCCCAGAGAGAGACAGGGGTTTGCTCAAAATCACACAGCAAGACTTAAGGCAAACTCGGGCCTAGACTTGGGCCTGTAACCCCCCGTCCAGTGTCCCTCTCTGAAACCTGGTCTCTCTCTTACTGCTACCCTGATACTCAGGACACCCCTGGGAGCTTGGATCGCAGTTCCTAAATGCAGGCAGCATTTATGGGACCCAGGCTGAGCTCTGGTTGGTGGGCTCTGGGAGGGCAGGGCAGAGCCTGGTCCCCTGGAGGCACTGGGAGGTACTTGGAGGGGATCGGCAAACTTGTCATGTCAACATAGTGGTGAGTACCTGGATCAGTGGCCGGGCCCAGTTGGCATCGGGACAGAGCAACCCCACAGGAGGAGCCTCGGGGCACCAGCATGGAGGGAAATTGTGGGCGGAGACCAGGGGTTGGTCTGGAAGCTGCACTTGCACAGCAAGTTCACTCTTTTCAAGTAATGGTATGATTGTTTGTGGTCGCTGGAGCACAGTGCTGCTGGTGGTTATCATGATGAGGAGGGGAGTAAAACCGGACAAATAGTCCTTTGGTTTGACCTCCTGTTTTGGCAAACAAAATTGCTCCCACCTGCCAAAATTGAAAAGAGCCCTTGTCATCATTTACTTAGTGTCTCACTGCCACCTAACAGTGGCCCAGAAAGGTCAAGCCAGGTACCCACAGTCACACAGCCAGAAGCCTATCTGACTCCTGAGCCTGTGCCCTACCCTTTAGCAGCACTGCCTCTCCCACGGTGCTTACATGTATCGGATGGTACATGTCTATTTGGGGCGCCAGACCCTTTAAGGGAAACCTACATCCTGTTTCTGGTTCTGCCTCAAAGATATGAATTTTCAATAACAGCGCTCAGGAGCTAATCTCTCACATGAAGCCCTGCCTCCTCTTTCCTTCCTCTCTCCTATGGCCCTTTGCAGAGCCCCTGGCAGCTCCTGACCTGCACATGACCATGGCCTGCCTGTGGCTTTGGCAGCATTTTCATACTGTGTGTCTTAGAGCCTCACTTTCCTCTTCTGTCAAATGGGAGAGAGAATAAAGCTGACCTCATAGGGTTCCTTGGAGACCAGAGGAGTTGGTGTGTGTTCTGTGTGGGAATCTGGGAGGAGGGTCTAGGGGTCAGGGGATGTGGGTGTGATCTTTGGGTCTGTCATTGACCGGCTGTGAATCTGGAGGCAAGTCTCTGCCTCCCTGAGCCTCAGTTTCCTCATCTGTATGATGGGGATGGTTGCCTTGCCCCACCTTTCATTTACTTACAGGAGGTCCAGGGTGAATCTGATGTTACTATGGTTCATGGTCAACTTCACTGCTCAGCTCCATTGACCCTATTCTCCTATCAAAAGAGCCATCTAGGAAACTCATACCAAGCCTCCTCTGTTCCTGAGGGTGCTAAGCTGAGGGATCCCTGTGATCATCGACTCCTTCATCTGCGACATGGGTACCGTGACTGTATCTGCCTCACTGCCACGTGGGAAGAACTCAGTGAGTTGATGCATGTAAATTGCCCAGGGGAGCTTATCTGATGGAAAACAGCTCTCTCACAGGTGTACAAAGGGACACGAGCAAGGATTTCACTGCTGAGGGATTTGGAATGGAGACAAGGGGAAATCTCCACATTCCATCAGTAGGTGCCTGAGGTGGCAGCCGCCAACATAGCCCCAAAGTGCCTCGAGTCCTGGTGGTCAGCCTTGGGAGGCCCCTCCCACGTATACCAGAGTTGCCCTGGGTGACCAGTGGCAGGGTGGCCTGTCATTGTGGTATGTCACTTCTGAGATTAGCTTATCAAAGACTGTGGCTTCCAGCTTGGGCTCTCTCATTACTCACCCAGGGGCAAGCATCACGGGGACACGTAGATAGCCTATGGGGAGGCCCCTGGAACTGGAGCCTCCAGCCACAGCCAGCGAGGAGCTGATGCCTGCAATGATCACAGGAATGAGGCTGGAAGCCGAGTCTCCAGCCCCTGCAGAAGACAGTAGCCCTAGCCAACGGGGTGGCTGCAACCCCATGAGGGGTCCAGGACCAGAACCATCCAGCTGAGCCACTCCCAGATTCCTGACCCCCGGGACCTCAAAGATAATAAATATTTGTTGTTCTAACCTGCTGGCTCTGGGGGTAATTTGCTTTACAGCAGTAAATGACTGATCTAGGGCCCCATTAAATCCATTTTAGTGTATGTGTGTTATGGAATGCCAGACCAATTTTAAAAAGAATGAGGTAGATAGAGCCCTGTGTCCAAACATGGAAAGATAGCCAAGGTATGCTGCTAAGTGAAAGGAAATCTTGCAGAGCAATATGTATCATGTGATGCTTTTTATATAAAAATATGCTGTCATCACACAGCCAAACAAATCTGGAGGAATTTAGCCAAACTATTAATAGTGGTTTTCTCTCTCATTGCAGAAGCAGGCAGGGCACCCAGGAGTCCTTCACTCCTTATTTCTGTCATGTTTCAACTTTTTACACTATATGTGTCTTAGTTTGGTAAGCTGGTGGAAAAATATTAAAAAAGCATTAAAAAAATATTTGCCTAAAATGGGCATGGTAGAAAAACATAGTAAATTGGCTTCAATAACTGACAACACTTGAGATCTCAGTGTTTAACAATTAATTTCTTTTTTTAAGTTTATTTATTTTTTGAGGGTAATTAGATTTACTTATTTTTAGAGGAGGTACAGGGGATTGAACCCGGGACCTCATGCATGTTAAGCATGCACCCTACCGCTGACTTATACCCTCCCCCAGCAGCAGTTAATTTCTTAGTATTCTAAAGTTCACTCAGCAGCAGGGAGGGATGGGTGGGAAGGGCTTTGCTTCATGGAGTCGTCAAGGGATCCAGCTGGTTGATGGAACCTCTTCTGTTTTCACACGTGGCTTCCCAGGTGGCCCTGGGCACAGATATCCAGCTGGCAGATGGGCAAAGCGAGGGTAGAGGATGAAGTGGGAGATTTTTCATAGGTCAGATCTGAAAATGATGCTCAGTCACTTCTGCCCACACTCCTTTTAGCCGGGATGCAGGCACCCTCTGGCTGTGGCTCCGACTGCATGACCTCAGGACCATCAGCTCCCCAAGTTCACTGTCCACTTTCATTGTACTCTCCCGTCTGAGAATCTCAGCCACAGGAATATCAGGGCAAGGCCCTCCTGCTGCCCCTAGAAGCTACTGGCCACCCTGAGGAAGGAATGCAGCACATTCTAGAAGTTTAACTCAGCTGAGGGAGGCCCAGCCTGTCTGGTGCAGTCCGGTTCGTCAGTCAGGAACACAGCCTTCTGACCTGGTCCCCCTTCCTGCCTCCCCCTCCCAAGGGCAGGGCCCATCACCTAGGGTGGGGCTGTTTGAGGATGAACCGGGGTCATGGGGCCCCAGGAACTGTTTGCAAACTGCCATGTGCATCCGCGCGTATCTGCAAGCTGCCAGCACCAGAGTCGCCAAGGTCGAGTAGCGTGTGACTGCTGTTCCCCGTGCCCCACCCACACACACCAGGCCCCGTGCTGAGAGCCTGCTGTGCAGGAGTGTGCAGGACCCTCCCAGCAACTCTCTGAGGAGGCCCCGGATGGGGAAACTGAGGCTCAGAGAGGAGACATCACTCACCCAAGGTCACAAAGCTCCTAAGGGAAGAGAGTGCAAGCAGGTGTGCTGACTCCAAACCCAGTGTTCCTCATCCTTACTCCACGTTATTCATCCATCAATTCATTCATTCCCTCTCCTGTGTGCCAGGCTCTGTATTGAGGATAGAGTAGTGAGCAAACCCCAAAATGCTTAAGTCCTTTTCCTCATAGAGCTCATGCTCAGGGGTGGTGGGAGACAGAGAATAATAGCAATAACAACAGCAAACACAGAGGTTATCTGAAAGCGGAGTGTTCCTATGAAATCTTTTGTAAGCTGAAACAGCATAATAGGACATATCTTGCTAAGGGATGCACAAAATACATCGAGATAAAGCACAGATGCTCACACAGGCCAAAGCTTTGGCGGCTTGATGCTGAGATGCTGAGTGTGGTTCTGGGGAAAGAGCTTGGTGGCGCCACTCTGGCTGCATCGGGTGGGTGCTGCCACCATGGTGGCTCCAGCAAAACAAACGCTGAACGCTATTTTCATTTTTTGCCTTTTTTTGTGAAAGTGAAAATCCTCTTTGGATTTCTTCTAGTTAGGGAAAGCAGGTCCTAGTGTAAGTGTTTTGTAAAACCAAAGTGGTGTAAAGCGAACTTTGAAAAAAACAAGGGATACCCATATGCTGGGCACTTACCATGTGCCAGGCGTAGGCCAGTCCTTTTAGAGATTCTTTAAATTCCCCCAACAATCCTATGGCACAGTGTTTTTATCATTCTTCATCATAGATGAGGAGGCTGAGACCCAGAGAGTCCAGATAACTTGTTCAAGGGCAGAGGTGGGATGTGGCAGGGCTCCAGAGTCCACGGCTCTTAACCAGCACACTCACCAAAACAAAACAAAACAGCACCCACATAAATAAACAAGGCAATTTTAGATAATGATCAATGCTATGAAGCCAGTAGGGAGATGTGGTTGAGAGTGACAGGGGATGCGGCGGGAGGGAGATGGACGATCAGGGTCGGTCTCTCCACAGGAAGATGTGGGGAAAGACATACCAGGCAGAGACGGCAAGTGTGCAAATGCCCTGGGGCAGGCACGGGCAGGGACAGGGATGTCCGGTGGTCAGGGGCCTAGGAGACTAGAGGGAAACGTAGAAATTGAGCTCTGAGAATAAGTAGGGGGACACTCTGAAGGCCTTGCAGGGTACAGTAAGGAATTTGGTTTCTTCTCCAGAACAGTGAGACACTATTGGAGAAATGAAGCAGGGGAGTGATTGTCTTCAAACTGGGGGCCCTGAGGATTTTCAAGTTATTAATATTTATTTCAATAATCTAGTAAAATTGCCAGCCTCCAAACTGGACTATGGGGAGCCTGGAGCCTGGCCTGTGGTGGCATTTCTGCTTGTGTCTGAGTCAAGCAGGGCTATGTCAAGGCCAAGGAGAAAATAACAGTGCAGAGAGGGAAACTGATCACTTTTTTTCCTCAATAAACTTTAAAATTTTCGGCACCTGGCTAGCTCAGTCGGTAGAGCATGAGGCTCTTAAAATTTTGGAATGTTAGATTTACAGGAAAATGGCCATGATAACACAGAGAGTTTCTATAAATCCTTCACTCAGTCATCTTAGTTCACCATTGAGTGTTTCGCAAGAGAAACCAACTTTGGTACTTTGTTATTAACGAAATTTCAGCCTTTATTCAGATTTCACTCCTTTTTACACTAACATCCTGTATCTGTTTCAGGATCCAACCCAGGGTACCACATTGCAATTTTGTCACATCTGCTTCATTTCTTCTGGTCTGGGACAATTTCTCAGTCTTTCCTTGCTTCTCGTGACCTTGAGTTTTGAGGAGATCCTGCCAAGTATTTTGTTGGACATCTCTCTTTTTTTTTAAACTTTTTTTTTATTGAGTTATAGTCAGTTTACAATGTTGTATCAATTACCAGTGTAGAGCACAATTTTTCAGTTATACATGAAAATATATATATTCATTGTCACATTTTTTTCGCTGTGAGCTACAAGATCTTGTATATATTTCCCTGTGCTATACAGTAATATCTTGTTTATCTATTCTACATACGCCTGTCAGTATCTACAAATTTCAAACTCCCAGTCTGTCTTTTCCCACCCCTCCCCCTTGGCAACCACAAATTTGTATTCTTTGTCTATGAGTCTGTTTCTGTTTGGTATTTATGTTTTTTGTTTTTTTAGATTCCACATATGAGCTCTCTCATATGGTATTTTTCTTTCTCTTTCTGGCTTACTTCACTTAGAATGACATTCTCCAGGGACATCCATTGTAGAACGTCTCTTGATTTGAGTTTGTCTTTGTTGTTCTCACGATTACGTTGGGATTATGGATTTGGGAGTGGGCTACCACAGAAATAGATGCCGCACCCTCTACACTATCTTAAATTAGGGGGCACCTGGTATCCAGGTGACGTCACCTCGGAGATTAACCTTTATCTCTTGGTTCTCTTGATGGAGGTGGTGTCCGATAGATTTCTCCACGGTGAGGTTACCCTTCTTTCCTCCATACTCTGCCCTTTGGAAATGAATCACTAAGTCCAGCCCATACTCAGTGAGTATGGTAAATTAGTTGGAATTCTTCAGTAAGGATGATTTGCCCCTTCGCTCCCATTTACTTTTTATTTAATCATTTACTTTTATCAATATGGACTCATATACTTATTTTAGACTTTGAGTTGTAATCCAACACTGTGTTATTTATTTTGTTGTGCAAATGGTTCCTGCTTTGGCCACTGGGTGCTCTTTTAGTTGGTTCCTGTGTCCCTTTGACGTGTCCTAGTCCATTTGTTTTTGGAGCATTTCCTTGCTTTCCTGCAGTACAAGATGCTCCAGCTCATCTTTTATTTTCCCTGTCTTAGCCTTAGAATCTGTCATCTCTCGGAGTCCTGATCACTTTCATTAGAGAATGGTATTTAGAAATACCAGCCTGTTGCTACTAGGGTGTCACTGCTTCTAGGCCCTCTCAGCCATCCCATGACATTCACTATATCTGTTCATTAAAAGCCAGCCTCTAGACCCAACCTATTCTCAGAAGGCAGGAATCACCCGGAGGCATGAATACTAGGAGGTGGGTATCACTGGGAGTCTTCTTAAAGACCGTCTACCACGTGGCTTAAACCAAAATAGGGCAATTGTGATGGTCAGGACCAACCCTCCTGTGCACTGTCAGGGGACAGGCAGAAACATGACACAACTGTGAACAGGAATGAGGAAGCCCTTTCCCCACTGATATGCAAGGCTCTCTAAGACCCTCTGTTAAGTGGAAATAGCAGGGGGCAGAGCCACCAACGTGGTGTGAGAATTTTCAATGAAAGAAAAAATAGAATATATATTTATATTTGTAGAAACTATCTCTGGAAAGACATACAAGAAGCTGATAGCTGCCTTCTTGGGGAGAGGAGTGGGAACTGTATCTATAAACATATGTATCTATCATATCTATGTGTGCATATAATTTTAAAAAATTTTAGAACCATGTGAAAGTATTATCTATTCCAAAAATTAAATTGAAAATTTAAAAAAAAAGCTGTTTTGCCAAGTGAAGGACAAAACTGATGATTTCCCTGTGGCTTGGAAAGAGAAATGGAGTGGGCAGGCCAGGGCCCCCGGGGAGCACAGGGGCTAAACGCAACACGGTGGAGGAGCAACCTCATTTCTGCAGAACATCATCGTCTGTCACATTCAGTTTGTGCAACAGTTTGGATGCTGTTGTTCTTGTTGTGTGGTTTGTGCTTAATTTGTAGCTGTGTGGTGTAGTGTCAAGAATCCAGGACTCAGGACCCTGCCTGTGTGGGTCCAAATCCTGGCTCTGCCACTTCCTAGCTGGGTGACTGTGGGCAAATGACATCTGTCTCTGAGCCTCAGTTTCCTCTTCTGTATAATGGGGACAATACTTGTCCTTGCCTTGAAGGTGGTGGTAAGATCTCGGTGAGTTAATACATGTCAGGGGAACAGAGCAGGGGCTCAAAAAAAATATAAGCGAGTATGGTTATTGAGTTCATTCATATTTAAGGAACAGAATAATTGAAATAATCCATGTCACCTCTGGGCCCTGAGAGGTTTCCCCCTTTTAAATGGATATTTGTATTATTCGAGCTGGAGGAATGTTGGGTTCCCATGTGTGTATGGCCCATGCCCAGCCCAGCACTGTTCATGCATGAACTGGTGTTGTCTGTCCCTTCCCCCAACCCAGACTGAGACTGAGCTCAGCAGGGCACGGAGGGTCTGCTCACCCCACGTCCCAGCCATCCAGCCTGGTGCCCGGCACAAACTAGCATCCAGGAAACACTGTGTTGAGTGAACAAATTAATGTAAGCAGGCATGAATGAATGGAAAATCCAGCAATGTACATGTGACCTCGTTACTGAACTTCCCCTCAGGTGATCAGGGAAGGCTTCCAGGAGGAAGTTGATGGGGATGGGGGCGGTGTTGTGTCGAAGAGGGTGTTCTAGGCAGAAGGGTCAGCCTGTACAAAGGTTTGGAGACCAGGCAGCATTCTATTCCTTGGGGGAACTGAAAGCAGGATGGAGGTCAGAGGGTGAGGGCTGGAGGTCAGGAGGGAGGAGGGGCAGGCAGGTGAGCAGGGCCCAGTTCACTCACCGTCAAGGTGGGTTAGACTTTGCCCTGAGCAGGAGGGAAGACAGGGCCTGGGACCAGGCATCCGAGGCTAGACAGAGAGCAAAGGAACTCTCGGCTGAGCTAGTGCCCCTTCCCCCAGCTGCATATTGCTCTGTCGGCTTTGGGCAAGTTGCTTCCTCTTTCTCAGTCTTAATTCTTTCATCTGTGTAATGGGCACTGGGTTCTTGTGAGGGTGGACACCAGACTGGACCACAGTGTACACTCCCCTCACCTGCTGATGGGCTGGGAGGATCTATCTGTAGGTTGGCAGGACAATCTGGCATAATGTATCACATCCTTACAATGTTTCTAACCTTCAACTCAGCAGTTCCTTTTCTTAGAACTTACCCTGAGAGAATAATTTAGGACCCGTGAAAAGATTTGGCTCCAAGAATGTTCGTCAGAATGTTGCCTGCAACGGCAGAACAATTAGAAACAGCCTAAACGTCCAGCATTAGGGGAATGAAGGCGACGCTATCAAAAGTTGTGCTGAAGATTTTTATCTGATGACAAGCAAAGGCTTTCATTCAGCATTATAAAAATTTTTTACTGCAAAAATAATATATCTCACTTTTAAAATATTCAAATCCTAAAAAATGTTATAAAGTAAAAACTGAAACATTCTACCTCCTCTAGGTCAATTTCTACTCCTGAAAGTTAATCACTGTTAACAGATTATTAAATTATCTTTCAGACTTACATCAGCAGGTATACAAACATATGCACACACATATGTGTATTAAACAACATATATGTTAAGATGGTATTTTATTAAAAACATGTACCGTTTCTTTAAAAAATTATCTAATTGCATATATCATGCTAGATTGTTACTGTAATGGCCCCTAATGCATCTGGCCTCCCAGGATTCATCCCCTGGGATAGGCTCCCCTCACACTGAGTTTGGACCTGATCATGTGACTTGCCTTGACAGAGGGGACATTAGCAAGCACGATGCAAGTAAGGGTCCATAAGGGCTTGCAGTTTGAGGCTTGTCCTCTTGAAATACTCTTGGGATCCAGCCGCTAGGCTGCAAGGAAGCTCAGGCTAGAATGCAGGGTGACTGGCAGCTACGTGGAGAGAGGCTGGAGGACGAGAGGCCGTCATGCAGCTTCCAGCCCAGCTAAACTCTCACGTGAAGTCAACCATATGAGTGAGCCCTGCTGATGCCTCGTGGGGCCAAAAACTGGCCTCTTTCACAGTGGTTTGCTACTCAGCAATCAATCATAGAAACATAGATTGTTCTGCAACTTTTAAAAAATCTTGAGGGGGGAGGGTACCCCTCAGTGGTAGAGTGGGTGCTTAGCATGCACGAGCTCTTGGGTTCAATCCTCAGCACCTCCATTAAATAAATAAATAAACCTAATTTCCTCCCCCTGACAAAAAATAATTTTAAAAAATCTTAACAATATATGCATATATTATGAACATCCTCCTAGGTCAGTTCATCTAGGTCAGCTCATTCTTTTTAACGACTACATGGTTTTTCATGGGATCAATGCAGCATAAGTTACTTATCTGTCTCCTACTGATGGACATGAAGTGGCTTCCAATTCTTTGCCATGACAAACAGTGCACCCTCCTCGTGTGGATATCATTGCCAACTGGCATTAGAGTATCTTTAGAATAAACTCCCAGAAGCAAAACTGCTGGCTCAAAGGGTATGCACTTTAAAATTTTCACAGATATAGTCAAATCACCCTCCAGATTGGTTGTACCAATTTGTGTTCCTACCCATAGTTGGTAAGTGGGCCAGGCCCCCAGCTCTAATCCAAACTTGAAAATCAACATTAGGCAGCATGAGTGTGTGAAAGTGTTGTAGAAGTGGTGAGGGGTCAGGGTGAGGGCCCGGGACTCTGCGGAAGATTTTGCTGCAGTTGCAGGGAGCACGGTCTGGGGCCCCAACTCTCCCTCCCTCGGTTCCTTCCTCTTCTGCCCAGGCAGCTGTGCTCAGCACATCCTCTTGCAGCACTGCCCTTGAAGGCGCTTCCCCAGCAGACCTGCTTCGCAGATAGGCTAAAGTTCCTCCAGTCTTGACCCCCGCTCACAGTGACCCTCTGGCTTAGATAGGTCCCAGCCCCCACCTCCTGCAGAGAGGAGACTTCCAGGTTCATCTTGTGACTTTGGACAAATCTCTGACTTGGAACCTATAACTGCTTTTGAAAACAATGTGAATGATAACAATAGTAACCTTTGGGCACTGTTGTTTATTCCTTCAGCAAACATTTATCTATCTATCTGTCTGTCTGTCTATCTATCTATCTATCTATCTATCTTATTTCCTTCAGCAAGCATCCTAAAGAGGCATCCTGGCCTCTT